CTGAGCATGAAGGGCTGCCAGTGCTATCGCGTCTTTGAAGCTTTGCTCGAAAGTATGGGCAATACATATCTGCTCTTGGAAATTCTTGATTTCAAAATGATGCATTTTATATTACACTTTGTTGTTATGGATAAAGAGGGCTTGATCACAGGATGAACAGTCCATTGAAAAAGATCTTTGTTCTATTTGCACAAAACAGTTTTATTCTAGTCGTGGTATTTTTGGTGCTGTGAAAGGACAGATTTCACCAATTTGAGAACTGTTTTTTCTATTTTGGGTGGAAGAATTTAAACAAAAGGATATTAATTATGCTGGTGATGCTGATGCTATCTAACAACATCTAAAGCAGATACAGACCAGAAGAGAAGCCACACTAATTAAAAAACAAAAAAGCCCAGCACAACTGAAAAAAAACTCCCCAAAGACTGAAAACTAACTCAACTTCAGGCATTTCTCTTTGATAGCAATTAATATAAGTTAAAATCCAGAAAATAGGTGTAGATAATAGGTGTAGGTAACGAAAGGGATATATAGTTAGCATAACTGAGAGCAATAGGAAGTTACTTTGTATGTATAAGAAGAATACAAAAAACAGCAACAGGACTATTGGTCCAATACTAGATAGAGATATTGTAAGTATCAAGAATTAGCAGAAAAGGCAAAAAGTGTTGAACAAACATTCTGCTCTGTGTTTGGGGAAAAGCCAGATATATTCAATCAGATGATGAAATAGCTTTCATTGACAGGAGCTAATGAGGATGTTAAACAGCAGCTATTAATGTTAGACATTTTACAATCAAGATTTCAGCTTAAGTTGCATCTAGGATTTTTTAAATAGCTTAGTCCATGAGTGCTGTGAAACCTTAATGTTGATTTTTTAATAAATCCTCTAAAACTGGGAGGGCTCCAGAAGACAGCAAGTAGCTAACTTTGTGCCAGTACTTTTAGAGGCTAAGTGGCATTACTTGAATAATTATAAGCCTGACATCAATCAGTGGAAAATATTGCATAGCTAACAGAGGGCTGACTAATAATTAGTATTCATAAGTGTTATCACTAATATTATTCACAATTCAGCCCCATGTTAGCTAATAGATTCAAAAGGGTCAGTGAAATTAAAGCTGATCTGTGTTTATTGATTTAATCAAACTGAATAGAATTTCTTAAAATATCATGAATTAGGTTGACAGCGGTAATGACGTGGAGGTAAAAAAACTCTTAAGAACATTTGACTTGGCTTCGTATGTTGGCCTGGTTACATCATCTGAGTTATGCAAAATCAAGGTTAGATTTGTTACCATCTGTAAGTACCAGCAGTTAATCAGAGTAACTATAGTCATGCCTTGTGACTGGAAATTGAAGCCAAATAAATTCAGGTTAGAAATAAGGTACATATGTTTGTGGGGAATAAGGTCATGGAAAAAATTCTCCATCCTGGATGTTTTTAAAGGAAAATCTAGTGTAACTAGTTTGGGCCGTAAATGTGGAGAGTGAGAAGAGCACCAGAAACAGCAGAGTCAGTGATGGGGACTTAGTTCCCCCTTCCTGCCAGTCTGCATGCACAAGCAGCTCTTCTTATCACACTGCAGCTCTGCAGCAGCAGCAGTAGCAGGTGCTGATCTTGGCAGTGAGCACTGGTCAGCCTGGATGTTGTAAAAGGTGAGAAGGGATCATCGCAGGGGCCTCCTGGCTTCTAGAAGCCATTTGTAGGTATTTTGAGCTGTTCATTGAAAGGCAAGTGTACTGCCCAACATATAAACCTAGACAAGGTGGCCCGGTCCTGGCAGAAACAGGAACTAGGTCTGTGTTTGGGGCCAAGCCCCGAGAGCCATGTTGCTTTCCCATGCCCTCCTTGCCCCCCCCCCCCCCCATCTCTGCACCAGAGGGATAAAAAACAGCTGCCCAGTTCCATCAGGGATGGGGGGTGTGCTGCACTATTCCAGTAGCCTTCCTGTCCCAAACAGCTGCTCCTCATCCCCTACAGGGGAAAAGCCGGTAGAAGCACCCTGTGGGCTGGGTCTGGCCCATGGGTCGTGATGCTGCGGCAGGATAAGGCAAATGAAAGCAAATATTTTCCAGGGCCAAGTTCTGTGTCAAGATAAAGTCAAACATTTAACAGTGTTTTACTTTCTCTGCAAGTCTTCAGTATAGTACTCTAAAATAAAGTCCTGGGGTATCATTTTCCACAAAAGGGTTCCTGTATTCCTGTAGACTTTGGTAAGTGTCAGGAATATTGTTACACTTCTAGCACAAACCAAGACAGGATGAATAAAAAGTATATTAATATATATTACTGAAATAATAAAAAGCAGATTATATATATCAATATGTATTATCTCACTTTATTTCAGGAAAGTTGTAGGTCAACTGAAGCAAATTTAGATTAAAGCAACAGAATAATTGAATAGTTGAAGAGATGTATGAAAAGAAGTTTCAACAATACGTGTAGGCAGAAACTGAATGTAGATAATAGAGGTGCATTAGATTTGTAAACCTAGGGAAATGGGATTATCTTTAAAAGTAACACATACTTCTTAAAGAAAAATGTGGGCCAGGTTGCTCTTACAAGGGAAATTGTGTCACCCTGATAAATCAGTACTAAACTAAGCAGAGCTCTATGTGAACATACTGAGAACAGTCCTCTGCTTATAAGGCAGAGGTGACCTAGAAGCAGCTCCCTCCATTCTCTCTCCTGAAAGTGAATGAGAACTGACTTACAGCTGCCTTCAGGGGAGCACTCTCTAGACACTGCAGTTGGAACAGGAATATTCTGTATTGTAAATGAGATGGCTTAGACTACAATTAGTGTCACTGAGTTTTAAAATACATCTCTGGCAGTATGAGAAATGGACTACAAGTTTGCAAATCCAAAAGGAGTCTTATAATTTCATACATGATTCTAGTTCTTGTAATGGCCATATTAAATCTTACTCATTTTTACCATGGAAAATTGTAACACTCTGGGACGCTTCAGCTAACATGTCCTGCAAGTTATCCTTTCATTGCACAAGGCTCTGTTTTATGTCTTTATTAGCCATATCATTGGGTATGATCCAATTGAAATGAACTTCTTGGATCACTGACTGACAGCCCCCATGTTACCCAGGGTCACATAATCGTGGTCATACATGTCTCTGTCACCACCTGACTGGACAGTTTGCCACTGCTGGTCCAATACTGAGCACTGTCCCAGGCTGTCAGCACTTTGATTACTGGGAAACAGTTGCAGGGATTTTGTATGTATAGTTTTGCCTTACCACCATGGAATACCTATCTTGTTTTTATTTTTATAACCTGTAAACTTGGTTTTGCTGTGTAACCTGCACCTCAGTTTTAGTGCACTGGTTTCGAAATGTGCTGTTTTCCTGAGAACTGTAAGTCTGGCAAATCTGGGGAGGTGTATCCGGTCTTTGCTGAGGGAATAGTGCCGTGCTTCTCTTCCACCTTGCACTAGAATCAGCAATGTCAGCAGTGACAGTAAAAGCTTCAGTTGAATTTTAGGTCTCTTCTTGGCTGCCTCAGTTCTTTTCATCAAAGATACTTTCTCAGTTGTCACAGAGAAGCTAATAATATTCTCCCAAATGTTTTTAATTCCTCTGTAAGGCTGGTATTGTACTTCATTATTACTATTTTAGTAACAAAATGCGATGATGCAAATAGCCCAAACTATCAGCCTGAGACTGCAAAAAGCCAAAGGTGGAGAGAGCTGAGAGTAAGATGCCTGAGGGCATTGTGGAGGAGAGACAGGCTTCTGGGAAGGAGGGACAGGCAGCTTTTGGAAGAACCAAGTTTCCATGAATTGGTGCCTCAGGTAGCCCTAGTGAAACTTATGCTAATGGTAGTTGCCCATGTGTATAACCTCACTGTGAACCACTGTTTTTTCCAACTAACTCTCAGGTTATTATATGTGAACAAACAGCATTATTAATAATGCAATTAAGTTTCATAACTTGTATTCTTTTTTTCTTCCCCATTTTCTTTTTTTTTTCCCTCTATTCCCCCCCCCCCCCCCCGCTTTACTGTATAGTCTAATTGAAAAGAAACTTTGGGAGAGATTTGCCCAAGTCACAAAGTACAGTGTCTTGCACTCCAAATCTCTTCAAGCTCCCTGAACTGTGTGGGCGTGATTTGTTGTACCTGAAATATAAACTTTACAAAATCCAAGGAAGGGAGTATAGGAACTTTATTTTTCCCCAAAACACTTCAGGTGGAAAGGCACCAAATACTTTTTTTCTTTTAAGTGTTCATTGTCTGTGCCAGTATGGTTGTCTGGTCTATAAAAGAGTGATTCACCTGTGGTTACCTCATAGCACAGAGGTACTTGATCCCCAAAAGCACTGACGGAGCTGTTGAAAGACAGGTATGAATCTGTTGGATTTAGAATTCCCAGTTACTCTATTCCTCAGTGTACTCATGGGAAGTGAGTTGCATTCTTGTTACCTATCTCTAGAAAGGCACCAACGACTGCAAGTCCAAAGAAAGTGCCTTCTCATCATGCAAGGTTGTGACCCTAGGATCAGATAGAGGATATTGAGCTGGCTACTATGTACAATCAGAACAGACTTCAATTACTGCATCTAACACTGGTCTTTGGGGTAAATTCCTACTGTGGCTTCCAGAAAAATGTAAGTGTTGAATAGTATCTGTCCTGCAGGTTCAACAGCACAGGGCCGATTTCCAAGAATACTCTCTACAGAAGTATTTTCCCCCTTTCTATCACCTTAAAATGAAGGAGTCTAACTATAGCAGGTTGCACAGCATGAGGCACCTTGTGCATGAAAAATTACACAATTATGAATGTTTGGATTAGTTTATATGATTGACTGATCATCCTTAAGTACTTTATAATGCAACCATTCAGCAAATTAGGCTGATGTAATGTATCTCTATCAACAAGTAATTTCCTGTATGTTTGTTTGCAGTGTTCTCTAGTAGCTACATTAAGTTTGTTAATGAAATATGGTGAGTAGATCATGATTCCCCCACTCTTTATTTCATAGGTTGGTGAGACCAGATGCAAAAAAGTTTGCACTTCGAAATCTGATCTGAGATCCAATGATTTCAGCATTGTTGGAAGCTTGCCAAGGGATTTTGAATTGTCGAATTATGACTGTTACGGGAAGCCCATTGAAGTCAACAATGGGCTCGGGAAATCTCAAGCCAAGAACAACAAGAAGCCTCCTCCTCCCAAACCTGTCATTCCATCGGCAGCAAAGAGAATTGATCTTTATGCAAGAGCACTGTTCCCTTTTTGCTTCTTGTTCTTCAACGTCATATACTGGTCCATATATTTATGATAAATCTTTATTTTTTCATATGTGTAAAATATATCCCATTTCATTACCCCTTCCCAGTCATGGAGGCCACTGCGTGAAATAATTTGCATTTTCAAAGCAATATGTTGCATCTTGATGCCATGCGATTGTACTGAACATATGGCATCTGAAATTTGAATGAAAGCATGACACTGCAATGTCTGTGCTCCGACCAACGTTGTATATAAATGTACAGCATACATCCTGCTTTAGGAATATATATGAAGGACAACGCATACTGCATTATAATGCTGAATAATGCTCTTCAGTTATTAGTAACATACAAAGATTTAAAGTGTTTCTGAAAATGAAACTGATGTGCACGTTGAGTATTACTAAAATCAGTATTCTAGTATATGTAGTATTTAACAGCTTTTTTGCTGACTTCCAGAGGGAAACAAAAAAAAAATCCTGTTCTTGTATAATTTTAGAAGGCACTGTTGAAGGAAAAGCTAAAATGTAATTCATATTATTTAGGCTTTGTAAGTGAAGGCAGCATTGAATAAGCTGATCTTGTCTATGTGGAAAAATAAAGGTCAGAGAATTACTAATTTTGTAAAATCAGCTCATTTAGGGGTAAAAAGGAAAAGACAATTGTATCCATCACGCAGGCACACTTAAGTGTGTGAGGATATGCTGACAATAAAACATTGGGCCAAATCTTGACTTCTGTTTCCTTAGACACAAACTAGACACAATATGTTAAAACCAAACAGGCTACTTTCTAGACTAAAGGTATTAGGAGTTTTGGACAAACATCACAACATGAAGTTCAGCATCAGGTTATGTTACCCTTTTCTACAATACTCTGGCCTCTGGCTCGTCTTCTGTAGTGCCTGGCAAGCCTGCAATATATGTCACCATTTTTTTATTGTTGTGTTGGATACATCTTACTTGATTTGTTTTGTTTATCCCTTTGAAAGTTTTCAGTTTAAACAAATCAGTTGTTGTCAAGATTAAATCTCATTTTTACCATTATTTATATGTTTTTTGTTTGCCTGTTGTAGCACAGATAACCAAAACAAACACCTAGCCAGCAGAAGTGAAGATGTGTCCAGATGTCTAAGGGTCTGAGACTCAAATATATTATGAGCCCCTGTATCTATGTGTTAATTGGTGGCTGGCCTCACCAACTCATTGATTTGGCTGCTACTTTTTGAACGATACGGTCCTATGCGTGAAACAATCCTGATAGGAGACTGCTTTCCATTTTCCAGAGGAAACCCTATGATGTGGAGACTACCTAAACTTGATCTCCCAGGGGTGTGTAAGGCAGGACCTGGGGTGTCCTGTGGGTGCCAGGGTGCGTGCCTTTGTAAAGGGAGTCATGAGGTGAAATGCAGCCAAAAGAAAGTTACTTGTATGTGGACATCCGAGCAGTGTGTATTCACCGGGAAAGGACTGGGCCTCAACCCTTGAAAGCGTGCCATAGGAAAATACGTCTCCACTTGTTAAGCTGAGGCACCACAGTTACTTAAAATCTGAAAATAAGACAGCATTTCATAATAGGAAATATGAATTATTGGCTCCTCATAGGCTAGGAAAGGATTGACTGAAATGTGTGAAACCTTCTATAGCACAATCCCTTATATAGTGGGATTGTGTTTTACATAGACACAATCCACTTGTGCTGCATTTCTGGCTCATCCAGGATGTGTTGAGCCAATACAGGGCACAAGTGGACTGTTGCATCATTTGGATATTGCCCACCATGTGAATGCTGTCTACAAATGGTGAGCCTGCACAACCAGAAGGTCAGAACTGAAACTGTCAAAAGAGGGAAGCGCACTATGCTTGCTTCACTGGGCATCTGGAGGATCTGCATGTGCCCAGGGTTTTCTTCTAATCTCTGCCACCTTGTGATCAACAGCCTGGCTGCAATGATTCTTGTTTGGGTTGAAGAGATTCGCTCTTGGAATTATGGTCACATGCTTTCCAGCAGCCTCCCGGCCACTTTCTCATGGAGATTTTAGGGAGTCACTTTACAAGGTGGCCACAATTTGTTCTTTGGGTTTCTTTCTGATCCGAGGAAATGGAAAGGAAATCCCAGATGTTACTGAGCCATGTTGCACAAGGCGGGGGGGAGTGATATCTTTGCTGTTTAGTTCAAAGTTTCAATGTTTCTGTTGAAGATGACTTGTAAGAGACTGTAAGAAGCAATAATGCTAAGTCACGGAGATGAAGAAAGGGGAGGGTAATTTTTATACATACAATCAGAGTGCTATATTTATAGACATTATTTATTCTCATACTTGTATTTTTTCTTACGATACTGGAAGGCAAGAAAATAATTACCCTGTGCTGGAAACTATATGAATTTTGGAAGATAATTTTCTTGTTAGAACTCTTATTAAATGGTTTATCTGTAATTAATGTTCACATTCTATCTGTATAATCGCAATTATAGATTTTATTGTTAAATTAATCTTTGTTCCTTCTTGCTTTCCTGCTTACTTGATGGCTTTTGTGTTTTATCATAAAACATTTAATCAATAATATACTGTAATTGCTTTCCAACTCACACAAAAGGAAGCAAAAGGAATGTGTCTTGTTAAGATAAAGGCTTTTCGTTCATTACAGCACAAAACCTAAGGACAGAAGCAAAGTTTAACAGCAAATTTGAAGCAAAATTTAAAATAGAACAGTGTCAGCTGTAAAGTATTAATTTTCTTTTCACTTACACTAGATAATATTGCAGTATCTGTATTACCTCAGAATATATTAGCTTGTCCTACTGAGCAGTAATAATTGATTTATTTTGCTTTCCTTCTCTCCACTAAAGGTCATTGAGAGTTTTGCGCACCATACCACATTATGGTCCTCCAGCACCCTCTAGTTGTAAAATTCTGCCTGTTGACAACAAGGTGCAAATATAAAACTGTACAGGCAGTATAGGATGTTACTTGATAGTGATAATATAAAGAAAAATAATATTAATAAATTAAAAATCAATGGACATAAAATCACTGGGCAACTATAGAAATTTGCCATGCATTATGAATTTAAAATCGTATAAATTGAGACATTCAAGTAATAGCAAAGGTGAGGCTCATGGAGAACACATTAGTAACTAGATTAACTAGTCATGATGTCTGAACAAACTGCATGGCAGCAAAATCTGTTTCCGAGGGAGAGACCATCTGTGTTTCAGTTGACATTTACTTTAAGTTGTTCTGTTCACTGATATTAGAGATACAAATTTCCGCTCTACCTTTAACATAAGCCCCAGTATTTTCTTGGCTCTTAAAGACTGAGGGGTAGTATCCAAACAGTTCTTCCCTTTCTTTCATGGTGTTATGGGCATTTAGATATCTTTGTATTTCAAAATTCTAAAAGTATGTTCAGACACTGCATCGGGAATTTCCATGGACTTTAATTAATTCATTTCTTTAGTGCATCTGCAGATTTAAGCTACACAATAAGTATGGATGTGACTTGAAAAGTGTATCAGCTGCTATGATTTAATTCTCTGTTAGGATGTGTGAAATGTACTGTGTGGAGAAATCCACACGTTAACTTCCTCATGCTGGTTCACCTCATGTTTAACACCTGGTTTTGGGAGCAGCTCTGTGGTGGGTTTTGGCACCTCCTCTTTTTTTCAGTCTCACAGTAATTCTAGCTGAGAAGGTGTGTGTGAGCATTCTGTCTTTTGAGTGAGGAAGGGAATTTATTCCTGTAAGTGCAGCGTACAGAAAATGGACCCCCTGGAAACATTGCCAAGCAGCTTTCATTCTTCAAAGCCTTCCAATTAATTCTTGGTAACGGGAAATGTGTGGATAAAGAGAGAGCATCTTCAGTGCCCTATTTCCCATTAAAGACAAAGTCATAACACTGCCTTTTGGGGTAGTTTCAATGAGCGTGACCACAGAGATTAATCTGGCTGTATAATCGTTTTGAAGGAAATGCACTTACGAGTAATCTTAATTTGAAAATATTTCACTCTTAAGCAGTCTGTCAGAGCTGTTAAGGTAATCTATTAAGAGACGTTATAATACAGTTGAGACCATTGGTCTCTTCTTCAATTAAAGCAGCTTACCATTATGGTTACTGTGTGGCTGGTGCAGCAGATATTTATAGAGTAGGTAACAATAAATTATTTATTTCCAAGGGAATGCAACCTGAATATATGCAATGTCAAGTGATTTTTCAGGCTACAGAGATAGCGTAGTGCTGAAATGAGTACAAATGTGGCGTGTAGCGAGCAAGGGAATGATAGGACACTGTTACTTGATGCTTCACTGTATGAATTCCAGGATCAGAGAAGATAACATGGAAAGAAAAAGAAATTCAGATAGAGACTGAATAATAGATTTTTTTGTGCCTACAATTTAACTTAATTGTCTAACAATTTAACTGCTCTGTATAATGATGTTACCTTTTTTTATAACTACAAATGATTAATTGAGAAAAGGAAAATTAAGCTTATCTGTGCTGCCAGACATAAAGAAATCAGTTCTTTTCATACGAAGCTCTAGACTTAAATAAACAATGCACTATGCAGAAAGCAGTATGCAGTTTTAAAGACATAAAATCCTCATTGTTGCGGTTTTGGCTCTACTGTTGTATCAAATTGATCTGAAACAATCTATGCTGCTTTGCAGCACTCCCTCACATTTTGCCTTACTCAGGAAAGTTGCTCACCCCTCTACCTCGCAGCACCTGTCCTCATTCCATCAATAGCTATAGTAGACATTTAAAACACAAATTACATGGCTATTTTGCAATCTTTCTGAAAGTCCTTCATATTTCTATGAATATGTCCACACTGCAGCCACTAAAATGTCTGCGCCTAATGCAGGCTTAGCCAAATTAGCTTCAAACTAACTAGATTGGGGATGGCTGGCAATGTAGCCATGGTAACAGCAAGCTCCGGCTGGGAAGCCTACCTGCTGCCGTTGGAAATGCAGAAATAGACCATGATGCTAACCCCCACAAAGCTATTATGCTCATACAGTTGGTTTAAAGTTAGCTCCTGTGGGTGTTCATCATCCCGTGCCTATAAAATGTAGGCGTGTGCTGTGTGACGCACCCTGTGCTAGAACGGAATTATTTCTTCCCACTGGTGATGTGGAAGATGCCACTGTAAAACATTCTCTCCTTGAATCTTGATGACATACAAGATTTCTGACATATTTAGTTCTGTGTACTGACAAGAGTGCTCACCACACAGTAGTGCCAGAAATGAAACTCATTTTCCCTAAGCAATCTGCCTGTAAAAGACTGAGTTGGAGTCACCCACCTGAGCATGAATGTGGTTGCCTTTTGAGCCTAGGTCATAAGCTGTCCCCTTTGCACACTTGAAGAGCCATTCTGTTTAAAGTTCCTGCCTCTAATCGTAGATATTGTATCATAAGCTTTGAAATTAATAATGACACTGAAGAAACTAGTGAGGCTAATGAGACTAAGACTATCAAAGTCTTATTTGGCTTCCAGGTTGTCCATGGAGGTCAACCCTGGTTTTGAGGGGCACTGATCGCTTTTCAGCAGGGTGTTTCTCAGCACAGCAGTGCCTATGAGCATTCTGGAGCCCAGCATTGACTGACTCCCTCCAAACAGGGAGGGAGTCATGCCCGCTATATAAACTGGAGATTTGTCTGGAAGGGACCGATTGCTGCTTGTGGATGAGCTGGGCATTGGTCAGCTAGTGGTGAGCAACTGTCCTGTACGTCACTGACCTTTGTCATTTTTTAGTTTTAACTCTCTCTGTGTTTTTTCCCTTTTTGTTATTACCATTGTTAGTAATATTAGTAGTACATTAATGAATTATTAAACTGTTCTTATCTCAACCCATGGGTTTTACCTTTTTGCTGATTCTCCTCCCCCATCCCACTCCAGGGAGGTGGTGGCAAGTAAGTGAGCAGCTGTGTGGTACTGTTGCCAGCTGGGCTTAAACTATAACACCACCTGATGAGTTCTTCAGGCTGTGGCAGTGGGTAGTGTGGGGTTTTTCATATATATATATCTGTATATGTTGCTTCTTTCTAAGAATATCCACTGTGGGAGTGATTTTTCACTTAAGGAAGCAAACTCAAGAGGTTTTGGGGCCCAGGAAACCCTGCTGAGTATAGCAGGTCAAGTTGTTGTACCATTGCTGCCTTCAAAAACCTTTCAACTCAGAGGGATCCTTCTCTAGCACCATAAATTGCAAGAAAAATCTTTGCTGAAACTGTGACTGCTGCTGAGAGGAAAAGCTGTGTGTAGGCAGCTTCCACCTTCTTTCACTGTAGCATACATCATGGTAATCAATAGCACTGTTTAGTTTTTCCATTCTACAAAGCACTCTTTCTATCAAGACTGAGTTATTTCCTTAGCAATACACTTTGGCTATCCTACCTTTCATCTCCGTACAGTCAGAGCAAAGATCATGCGTTTGATGTTGACGGCGTTCATGAAGGCAAGCTAGTGCTGATGTTCAAGAACAGATGAACGGAGATATACGGGAAGGCCTGGGACTCCCTTGGTTCTCAAGCTTTAACATCACCTGTGTTATCCCATTTCAGTTATGTCCCTATAACTCAGAATATTGTGTTGTTTGGATAACACCTCACAACCTGCATTATATTTTCAAGTTAAGTATATTGAATCATTAGTTAATTGTCAAAAGCAGAATACAAAAAAGAGTAGTCCATGTCACATTTTTTAAAATGTTGATTTCCTCTATTAACCTTAAAACTTGCACTTGACCTAAAGGCTAGGGAAATACATTTCTCAGTGCTCAATAAGCCTTACATTGTCATAAGAGATTTATCAGTGTCTCAGACAGGCTCGTTCTTTCAGATTAATTTGTTTGTTTCTTTGACTCCCAAAGGCCAACTCACTGGAAAACATTAATTTGAAGATTGGCTATTTCAAGGCATAATACTGACGGAAACTGACTGTAAAGACTAATGTTTTTGAACAATCACACTCCAGCATCAGTTTCTGCTTTTGACAAAGCCTGTCTTCCTACCTGCTCCTGCTTCTGACAAATCCTGTTTAGCTTCAGCCCACTGGAGGGTGTAAAATCTTCATAGACTTTTTGAAATACCTGTCTGATTGTGTTAGCTTCTGGGGTAGCTCTGCTTCCACTCCTTCTCTCAGTGTGCTCTAGGATCAGGCTATTACAGAAACAACCATTTTTAAAGCAAATACAAATAATATAAAGCATCTACTGTGAGCTACAATCTACTTCATGGAGTTAAACTTCAGATTTTATTTATTAATCTTTTGTATTTTCTAGTTGGTTATTTTCCTGAGGTGGATGGTTCTTAACTAAATGAATAAAAGTACATAACAGCAGGAGAGGATCACATTGGACCCACTTGTTTCTCTAGACTTAAAGCTCTTTGCAGTGGTCTTAAAGCCAGGAAGGCTTCAGAGGATTTACTACTGCTTAATCCATTACGGTTGCCTTGCAGAAGTGCAAAGGCAAGACCCCCTCCCTGT